GCATCAAAATTAGCAAAGAAACAGTACTGCTTTTATTTCTGCTATTTTGTTGTGTTTTTCTTGCTTTTAACTTGTTGTCATGTTAATCACTGACGTTGTGAAGCACTTCACCAGCACTGTGGTTGTGTAAAGCACTATAGAAATAAAGGAATTAATGTTTTATAATTTAATTCTTCCTATTTTATTTATTGTTATTTATTGAGCAAATAAGGTGGGCTGTCCTTCTTGGGCCTGCTCCTCTGCTGTTGGTCAGCAGACATGAAGGAGCAGGAACTGTGCAGATCGACTGTGCATTGCCTGCACTGCCTCAGTGTTTAAAGTTTAGTTTTTAAGTTCTGTCGACCAATAGGAGAGGAGCTGACACAAGAAGGACTGCCCACCTTATTTGCATAATGAGGCAGAAATGCATAAGTTAAAACAAAAATGGGAGACAGAGAAATGCAAAAACAAATGGAAATAAAAATACTTGTGGGATAAATTATAGAAAATATTTAAATATAATCATTTAAGAGACTTAAATGCATGTACAAGTAAAAAAAAACAGTAAAATGTAAATTAAATGCTACAATATATAATTTATTGAACTAAGCTGGAAAAATAAATATAATGGTCAATTAAAATATAAAACATGAGGGAAAGTTCTATTTTTTATTTAATTGGTGTATTTTAAGTGTATTTATTTATTGGTCCATTTATATATTTCTGCTTTTATTTCTAATTATGTCAGTGTCTGTCCTCCATAAACTTGAGGAGCAGAGAGAAAACTAAAACATCCAAAATAGTGGCACTYGAGCCAGGTTTGGGCACCACTGATGGAGGGCAGAACAAACACTGATGAAAGGACTGAACCGAGCGGTCACAGTTCCTGACAGCAGTTTAAGATTAAACCCGGTTCTGGACGTCAGCTTTAGAGAGAAGAAAAAGAAACAGAGAGTGTTCAAGCAGCTGTAACTGAAATCATTTCCAGAATCTGGGATGAAAAATTAAACTCATCAGGAAAAAACAAAAAGCTTTGCCAATAAAAAAAAGGAGTGGTTTCAGGAACTAAAGTTTGAACTGATCCAGGCTCGGTGTGGATCTGAATCCAGCAGAGACCTGCTTCCCTGATGGTGCTGAGAAAATCTAGCAAAAACTTCGGAGAAAAAGGTTGTCTGATCATTCCTAAGAAACATTTAGGCCGCCAAAATTTGAAAATGAGTTCTGAGGATGTATCCAAAAATGCCTCATTTTCTTACTTTTTTTTGTCACAAAACACTTAATGAATCTATGCTTCACCCCTTTGCACCTTTGTGTGCTGATAAATAAAAAAGAAAAAAAAAATGAATCCTTAAGACAAGCCTGAACAACACTGTATGTTCAAAACATGTAAATTACTGTTGTGGAAAAAGATCAAAACTTTAAATCCACAATAGTTTTTATTTTATATTGGTTTAAATCAGCAGCTTTATCACGGTGTGATATGTTGATTTGTTTGGATGACGATACAATATCTCTTCATCACAAAGTCTGTCATGATATGATTTCGATTCAGTTCACAACTTTGTGAAAGATAGAATGTGATATCATAATGCTCATCTAACACAATGACTGTGTTAGACGGGCATATGATATTGATCCACATCGAGTATGATGAAATTGTTATACCCCTAGTATTTTGCTTACAAGGTTTGATTTTTACACATTTACCAGGTTGTTTGATGATGGTCGCTGTGTCATCCACTGCCCAACCGGKCGCTATGCAGATGGGAGACGATGTCAACCCTGTCATCCCACCTGCCACGCCTGCACTGATGAAGGAGCAGACAACTGCACCAGCTGTGATAAAGGTAAACCACTTTACCCCAAAACTAAAACAGTTCATTAATGTGAGTAAAAATAACAAAAAAAGAAGCACTTATAGATGAGGATTTATTTGTTTGATGAAGAAAGAAAAACTCACAAAGTCCAGTAAAATGACTCAAAAATGTCAAAAATAACAATCAGAAAAGCATACTAAAAATTTAAGTTGTTGCTATTAAAGCGCAGCTCAAAAGCAAACTTGCTTAAAAAATAAAATGACAAAAAAGACGACAAAAGTAGGTAATTTGTCATTTGACCTTAGAGACCTTAAAATAAGGTGTGTCCACTAATTAGCATCACAGGTGTATTTAATCTTGTAATCAGTCTGCCATCTTCAGAGGGTCACTTTAAATATAAATAGATGAGTTTTAATCATTTGCCTCTAACATCATAAACATTTTTTACATATTTATTAAAAAATTTGGTTAAAGAATCAACTTTGCCTATTCCTTAAAAAAAAGAAAAACTGACCTCCGGATTCTGTTCAGTCACACAAACACAAAAGCTTGTGTTGACTCCAAATTAATATAAATATCAGGCGTCATTAAAGTATCACAGCTGAAGAAATATTATGCCGATGGTGGCGAGAAGAAGAGAGTTTATCACCCCGCCACAGACAGTGTTTTGGCTGTCAGAGCGAGTGTGTTTACACTGGGGAGGTACAGTTACACACCTACATACACACTCACTAAAAGATACCAGACTGTCAGGAAATAATTAACACCAGATTTTCCCTTCAGACACACAGACACACCCAGACACCTCTTCAGGCACACACACACACTTTCAATTAGCCTAAAGATTTGTCAGACTCTTTGCAAATGTGGTTTCATTTAATTGCCAGTCTGTCTAAAATGTTCAATGAGACATAACAATAACAGCATGAATGAACCTTTCATCTGTCTCTTCCCTTCTCTTTCTCAGTTTCACGCTCTCTTACTCACACACACACACACACACACACACACACACACACACACACACACACACACACACACACACACACACACACTCAGACAGCAGTTCTCAGTACTGACCGTTGATAGTAAAACCATGAAAAAGAAAAGTAAATGTGAAAGCCTGACACAGAACAACCAGGAAAATTTGGTTAAATTGTAAAGGAACTGACACATAAATAAACTCAGACAGGTATGAAATTAAAGTCACACTCTGCAGTAAAATCACTTTTTGTTTGTATTCAATCAAAATTGTGTTTTGAACTTTTGAACATTGAAATAGTGTCTTTGTTTAATCCATTTCAATTGACTTAATTCAAATTTTTTCAAAGTTTTCATGAATTCAGTTCAGTTGAAAAAATAAATAAATTGAACCATCACATTTTATACAACGAGCACAGAGACTGAATTAAATGATTGCGTGGTGAAAAAGATTTGCATTAAGATTCTAAATTTTCAAATTACAAGATACAAATATTTAAACTGCATTTTTTTCTTTCCTGTATTAAAGTGTTCTGTGTCTTTCAAGAATAGGTTTATATTTTAAGAAATTTCCACAAGGAGACAATAAAGTAAACTACTGTGTCTTACTTATATAAGGCATTGTATAATAGATTGCAATACAAGGCAATAATATAATATACTGTATTTTGTATTGCATCATATTGTAACATGTATTGTTTTGGATCTTATTTATCATATTGCGCTATATATATCATATAATGCATTGTATTATATGTTTTTTATTATATACAGTATAGAAATCTAGTCTCTCACCCACCCCCGTTCACCTGTTTCAGGTGGGTGGCTCTTTATCACAAGCTCAGGTCCTCTACCAGAGGTCTAGGWGCATCAGGGTTCTTTGCAGTTTTTTAGCTGTTCCTAGGACTGTACTTTTCTGGACTGAGATGTCAGATGTTTCTCTTGGTATCTGTTGGAACCAGTTCTCCAGCGTGGGGGTCACTGCCCCAAGTGCTCTGATGACCAAGGGCACTACAGTTGCCTTCGCCTGCCAGGCTGGTTCTAGCTCTTCCCTGAGCCCTTAGTATTTCTCCACTTTCTCATGCTCACTTTTTCCTGATGTTTCCATCATTGGGGATGGCCACATCGATCACCAATGGCTGTCCTCTGCTGCTTATCAGTGATCACATTGTCCGGTTGGTTGACCATTACCATCTTGTCTGTTTGAATCTGGAAGTCCCACAGGATCCTAGCTCAGTTATTCTCCACCACCTTGGGAGGTAATTCCCACTTTGATCCAGGAGTCTCAAGTTTGTACGCACAGTTGTTTCTGTTCACTATACCAGCCACTTGGTTATGGCGTCCCATGTATTCCTTTCCTGCTTGTGGCTGGATTGTTTCTGGGGATTCTTTTCACAGCCGGCACCTGGGATCTTGCCTGGTATCCAGGCCTTCCACTGTCTGACACATTCACTGAGCACTTTGTCTTTCTGGGTCATTTTTCTGATGTATTCTGATATTTCATCTTGGATAGTGGCTTTGGTGCTCACTAGGCCTCTGATTCCTTCTGTGCGCTTAGTGTATAGCCTGTGGATACTGGGTTTGGGGCATGGTGAATAGCTTTCATGTTTTAACATCTGTGGTCTGAATTTCCTCCTTTGGCCAGCTTATTATGCCTGCAGGATATCTGATTACTGTCAAGGCATTGCTGTTGATTGCTCAGACCTTGTTTTTGCCATTGAGTTGATTTCTCAGAACTTGCCTTATTTGTTGCAGAAATTTGGCTGTTGCTGCTTTCCTTGTGGTCTCTTTGTGGGTGCCATTTGCCTGTGGTATTCCTAGGTGCATATACCTTTCTCTGACATCTGCTATTCTCCCTTCTGGGAGTGCAATTACCTTCCCTCTTTTTGTTACCGTCTGGCCTAATTTCTCCAGCCCAAATGACATTCTGATGTCCCTGCTGTAGACCCTGGTGGTATGGATCAATGAGTCGATGTTTCACTCAGCCTGATGTCATCCATGTAGTGGAGGTGACTGACAATGGCCCCATTTCTGAGTCAGTATTTATAGCCGTTGATGCTGATTATTTGGTTGAGGGGGTTCAGGCCTATGCAGAGCAACAGTGGGGACAGAGCATCTATTTGGTATATTCCACATTTGAAAGAGATTTGTTCAATTGGCCACAGGATTGGTTTTCCACAGCCTCATGGAGTTTGCAGAGAAGGCCTCAGAGAGTTGTTGACCTTGTACAGTTTCAGGTATTCCGGGTTCTGTGTGTGTCATCTAATCATAGGCTTTCTTGTTATCATTCCAGCCAGTGCACAGGCTTGTTTGTATGGCTTTGCAGTCATGGAAGACTGTTCTGTCAAGTAGTAGCTGGTGTTTGGCTCCTCTGGTGATTTTACCGATGCCTTTCTGTATCCATGTGCCTACGATGCCTGACAGCAGCTTCCATGTCATTGGCCGGTAGTTGGATGGGATTGTTCCCTTCTGGGTGTTTTTCATAATCAGGACTGTTTGGCCCTCAGTCAGCCATTCAGGGTGGATCCCATTCTTCAGCTTGGCACTCATGGAGCGAAGTCATCTTCTTGAGCCAGTAGGCTTGTGCTGTCCAGTTCTTCATACCCTCATAGCCTTAGTTGAATGTCTGCCATTTGCTGGACTTTGTTCAGGGAGAGTAGTGTGTATCATTGTTATGTGATGCTTCTTTCTCCCAAATACCTTTCCAGTATCATTCAGTCTCCAGCCTTGGTGGGTTGACTCGTGTGTTTTACTCTGCCACTGGGAGTACACTGGTTTGGTGGAGAACAGCCTGTTTATTCATCTGGCTTCAATTGCCTTTGTGTATCTCTTGAGTTGGGTTTGAGTCTTGTTTGGCAGTTTCCAGTACTTCAGGTATGGGCATCTGTTTGTATTTCTGGGGTATTCCCTTTTTGGATGCAGGTTTCTGGAGTTTTGACAATTGGCTGACTTCTATTCATGTTTCCTTGATTTTGACCTCAAACTTTTTCCTCCGTGGTTATCTTTGCCATCTCAAGTATATTTAATGCTGAGTGGGAGGATTGGTGTTAGTTTAGATTGTGGGCATCAAAGCACCTGTGGTTCCCACAGTCTTTTCATGTATCACCCCCTGTCTGGGGGTCAATGTCTTGTTTATTTATATAGCACATTAAAAACAAAAATAGCTGACCAAACTTTACAGTTCAGTCAAGGACTTGTATCATTAAAACAAAAGTCAAAGTAAAATGCAGAAACACACTATAAAGAAAAAGCAAACAAACACCAAAAGGCAAAAGTATACATGGCAGACAGCTGGCCCTGACTGGCACCACCTTGCCTCCATGTGTTGGGAATACTGGAGTAGTAGCATTCCAACAGTTCCTTACATTTCCCCTGTGACCATTGCCATCTTGTTCCAGTAGCCCATTTCTCATTACAATGCCCTGGTTCCTCAACATTTGATGCAGATCTTGTTTGACCGGGCGATGTCTGAACTGTTATGGTTCTGTTTATTTGCTCATATCATCCTATCATGTGGTAGGCAGTTGGCGTTAATGGCTATTTTTACATACACACACACACATACACACACACACATAC